CCCTCAGGTGTCTTCATGTTGGTGGCTGGTGGTATCGTCGCCGGGATCTTCCTCATCTTCATCGAGATCGCCTACAAACGTCACAAAGACGCTCGCAGGAAACAGATGCAGCTCGCCTTCGCTGCCGTCAACGTGTGGAGGAAGAACCTTCAGGTATCTGACTTTTTTTCTTTTTTATTGTTAGTCTGGTGAAGTCACTGTCAACGAATGTAAGCTAATGTAACTTTTTTTAGTGTATTTTTTTTATTTCCCATTTTTTTTATTTTAAATTCAACAGGGTGTATTACTTTTTTCTCTCTTCATTGTTCTTGTGAAAGGCAAAGGTCACATGACACGTGACTGACGTCTGATATCAAGACTTTGAGTTGACGTTTTCCAGCATTTTGGCAGTAGCTCAGCCGTTAGCTCAGTTAGCTATGTAGTAGCAAATATCTACTAAGCTTCTCTCTATATCGGATTTTAAAACAAAAAACAATTCATACAAAAAGTGAAAAAAAAGTTTGGTTTATGTGACAAAAAAATATATATTTATATATTTATTGTATTTTTATTTATTTTGTTTATATACCTGTTATATAAAATATAAAATAAAAAAAATAAAATAATTATAAAATATATTATATATTATATAATAAAATATAAAAAAATATGTATTTTTTCTGTTTTTTTTGTTTTGTTTTGTTTTGTTTCTGTAGCGAATCACGCACGTCACGTAGCGTTACACGCAGTACACGCCGCGGAGCATAAAACTCATGTATAATGTATGCGTGCGTCTCAGTTCGGTCGAAGAGCAGAGAAATCTCAGAAATGCGTCGTCGTGGTTTCTGTTAAAGATGGATGAGGTCGTGTTGTTAACTAAACTGTGACAGACTCGGGGAAACTGAAAAAATGTACAACATACTGCAGTACAACACAGTATGTCATGATATTACTTACTTAAAGTGAGAAAAAAACCCTTTTAGTTTCAGCTCTAGTTCAGTTCCTTCATGTTTGAGGTCCCTGCGCTGGTACAGTAATATGCTACATGCTAAGCTACATGCTAAGTGCCT